CCCACAGCAGCCCTTCCTTTTCAAAAGGCTGAAGAGACTGGAAAACTGAAGACAGACGTGTAACAACCATAAAAGAAAATAAAGCTTTTCCCCCTAACCCTTTACAACTGTCAGAAGTGAACCTGTGTCCCAAAAGGCCTTGATGCACAACAAGAGGTCTCCCTTATCCATCAGCCCTATTCTCAGCCTCCTCTCCCTGCTTCATTTCCTTCCAAGAAGCATTTTCCATTTCACAGCTACCCACTGTGCTTCTCCACAGTTACCTCAAAAAACCCAGGGCTCACAACTAGAAAGCCGAAACCTGCTGTGAGCGAAGTGGCAGCGCAATTGGTGCATCTCATCGGTACCTGGGAAGCAGCTTCCTTTTTCATGTTACAGCCTGGAGCCCTCCCCAGGCCAGGTGCCGCCTTCTCCAGTTCAGGCAAACAAAAGCACATGATCAGCTAGCTGCAAGCAAACAGCTCAGGCCTATAAATCTCGCTCTAGTATCTTTAGTCTTAAAAGTTTATGCAAAATTGAACATGAGAATAGATTCTCAGGGGGGTAAAAAACAAACAACTAAATGCCAGACCTCTTGCTCACATCTGCTTTAAAATAGTTACTCTTGCCAATGCTTTCATAGGCTGGAGATTTAAGGACTGACACCTTCAGGGACCCCAACTAGCAACAACCTGCAAGTATACAGAAAAGTTCTTCTGCACAAATCTAGGGAAATACCCTCAAAAGAGTGAAGTCAGAAGAGCAAATAACTGGGGAAAAATGGTGCTGGGACCTTGATCTTATGGATGCTTAAACATATTCTCACCTTGAGATCAACAGGACTCCTCAGAAGAGTTAAACCGATGCTTATGAGTTTGTCAGGTTTTACACTTCTAAAGCTTTTAAAAAAAACTCTATAAAATATTTACAATTACATGAATAGGTCAATTTAGCTGTTGTAGAAATTGTGGTAATGGCTGCATAGTGGCTAACGAAAATGGCTCACAGCAGAAGTTAACTGTTCCCCTGCAACAGTCAGTAAGAAGGTGCTTACGGAGTCAGAGTGATCATTTACTCCCCCATAATGGCTGAAAGGAAACATTAAATAACATTTTCAGTAAGGTTGTCAGAGACTTGGCAGGGAAAAAAAGATGAAAATAGACACTGAATGGCTTAAACCTGTCTTGAAGATCATGTGCCAAACAAGATGGGCCTTTTTCTCAGCCTCTCTGTCACCTGGGGCTCTGGGACCCCATACTTGGGAACACAAAAATGAAAACTGCTGCAAACATCGGGTGCCACTGAACCTGAGGGAGATGACTCCCAAAATCCAATTCCCTCCTCCAGCAGGCAGGCATGGTCTGAAGGAGGAGGGCAGAAAGGCAGGTAGCAGAGCAACACGAAGTGGGGCTGGCCTGGTGGCAGCACACCATCCCCAGCGCCGCCGGGCTGGGACCAATGACCGGGGTCATCCTGGGCCCACAAGGCCGTCAGGACCCTGCCCCAGGGTGGGCCACATTCCCCCAAGCGTCGCTCCTGCCTCTCCAACAGACCTCTCACCATGGAAGCAAACTTCAGTTTTTAAGGCTATTTTTCAGGTCAGGTGGGTACATTTCCCTTTAGGACACCAGATCTGTGTGGTACAAGCCACCCTCTGTCCCCACTCGCCACAAGCAGCCTCCCTCCCTCTGGCAGCTCTCGACTCACCAGCAGGCAGGCACGGGGCTCGGCAGCCACCCCTCTGCTCCCAGCACAGAAACGGCACCCGAGGGCTGAGCAGCCGATCAGTGCTCACAACATGCACCAAGTTAGGTGTGACATAGGGAGCCACCCAAGTTAGAAGTGATGTAGGGAGCCACCCTGAATCTCAACACTAACTAGCACCGGCACCTGAAAAGTTGCCTTTGCTGAAAGGAGTTTGCAGCTCCAGGTCACACCAACTGCTGGTGTGACAGTCCTGTAACAGGTGCCACTTCCAACCAAGTACGCATTGTCTAGCCACGTGGGCTAAGGGACCTGTCCCTAGGAAATCCTGGGGCTTCCCCCTCCTTGCACTTCCCCTGTCTTTACTTGCCCATAAGCTGGCCCAGGAGGGAATTTCTGCACTTCCTGGTAATAACCCACCAGCACTCATTGCCAGGACAACTGCTAAGAGAGTTACAAAGAAGAAACACTGCATTACTGACTTCAGGGCAAAGTGAGAACAAAGCCTGTTTGTCATGTGCTTTGAGCACATCACCAGGCCCTTGGTCCTCTAGAGCTAAGAGCAGAACTCTGAGATGGCATCCAGACCCAGCTTACCTGCTCTGTGCTATCCTCCTCCCCCTCGCACTGCTGCTGACCACAGGCACACAGGTGCACAGCTCATGAGCCCATAGCACATTTGCACACACACATGCAAGTGTCATACATGAGCCTCCTCACTAACTTGTTTCTACTCCCAGCCCTGCAAAATCATGAAGCCTCGTCATGGAAAAACCATGAACACGTGACAGCTGTAAGAGCTCAGCAATCTGCTCAGTGGGGTGGTTATTCGGAGGATGTAAAATTTTTTGCACGTTCTTTATGTAAGTCCCTCATCCAAAATCGTTTCTCAGTCCCTGCCACTCCACAAAACCAGTCCCCGTTCCCCAGCAGCAGGAGATCATGCTGGAGCACATGGACCTCCCACTCCACACCCTGTACCTCCTGCTCCCTGTATCTGTCCCCTTACTCCACCAAGGGGGCTGGCATTCACCAGAGCTGTCAGGAGCACTGTGTACCTCCACCATCTAACAAGGGAAATACTTTCAAACTCCAGTGTCAAACCCTGCAGTATGACCACCCACAAAATCCCCCTCCTGCTCTCATGTGCTCAAGTACTGAAAAATCATCAGGGTGATGCCTTTGAATATCTATCAGACTCTAATTCTGCAATTTCCTCTAGTATTTCTCTGAGCTTCACTGGTTTGAAGTCAACAGGTCTTGAAAGGTCGTGAGCGTGATTCCAGGGTTAAGATTAAATAAAATGCCATACACCAAGAACAACTCCTCCTCCTCCTCCTCCTCTCTTATGAAACACTCTGCAGAGTGAACAGAAGATTAAATGCTTTCCATTCATTTTCTATTTTTAAACTCACTTGTTAATGTTTCTTGGCTTTTTAAAACATTTGACTAGAGCTCTATTAATTACCCAGTGGTCTCAGCAGTATTGAGTTTCTTCAGGATTTTTCCCAAAGGAAACTCCCCTCACTTTTAGCCTAGTTTGAAGCTTCTCTAACTTCCAGAGAAGCTTCATTTCCAAAGTTTCTTGTGCTTGTTTCTCCTGCCACAAGTAATATCTCCTGCATGTATTAATTTAAATATATTCACATAAAACAGCTAGGAAATATGAAATAGGAAGGCTTTATGTAAATGGTGTTTCCAGATCGCCTCAAAAAACCCTGTCTCACACTGAAAAGCCTTCTCACAGGTTTTATTAGTTGTCCTCTTGGTGAAATCTCTAACAGACTGCATCTTGTTTTAAGAGAGTGCTTTGGACAACAAAACTGTCAGCCTTTGAAAACTCATGTCCTGGTGGATCTTCATAAACAGCTTAGGCTTGTTAATGCTTAGACATAAGCACTAATCTCTCTCCCTTTTATTGTGATGCAGCTTAGTACTCTACTGCTTTTTACTGTAAAGCTAATGTTGAAGACATAAACCAATTATTAGGAATGAAAGTCTGCCATGGTGATTATTCCTAATAGTTACCAGCTATTCATGGCCTTGCTCCTCTACCAACCAACTAGCTTTTACCTTGAACTCCCCTTCCTGTCAGCAAGTATCTTTATGACAGAACAAGCAGGTTGGATCTCTTCCTGCCACCATTCCCGTGTTTCCCTTTTTTCCCACCCAGATGTTTATAACTGCTGAATTAAAGACAACTGCTAAAAAATGCTGTTGGTTTTCACCATTTTCTATGCATCGCCATTTTCCACAACCACAGAATCTATAAAATTGCAGTTATGCCTTTACAAGATCACCAATGATTTCTTGATCGGCGTTATTTTTTTCTTTGCCTTTTTTTTAAATTTTCTAAAAAGGAAAAAAAAACCCTAGGACTTCAGCAAGACGGGTTTTAAGACTGGGACAGCACCTGAAGTTACATTCCCACATAGGTATTTAGAAACACAAATAAGATGATCCCATTTTCATTTTGGGATACCAGAAAGTTCTAGATACTTACTACAGAAAAAATAAGTGTAATTTTAATCTTATTAATAAACTTGAAATTACAGAGCTTTGAAGGGACCTCTGGAGATCACCTTACTAAACTCCTCATTTAGAGTATGACCAATCTGGATCAGGTTGCTCAGGGCCTTGACTAGCTCAGCTTTGAGTATCTCCACGGATGAAGACTTCACAGCCTCTCTAGATACCTGTTCAAATGTCTGACCCCCTCTCACGGTGAAAACTATTTTCCTAACACACAGCTGGAATTTCCTTTCTTGCAACTTGCAACCATTACTTCTTGTGCTATCACTGTGTATCCCAGAGGAGTCCAGCTTTGTCATTTCTGCACCCTTTCATCAGAGCCACAGAGAGCAGTAAGATCTCCCCTCTGCCTTTCCTCCAGAAGAACAAACAAAATCCACCTCACCCTTTCCTTACATGTCATGTTCTATAGTAACTAGACCTCATTTGACTCATTTGGCTTATCAGTCTCTATTTATCTTCAACAAACACAGATTCAGATACATGGAAACAAAAGTATTTCTGGCCCTTCTCCCATTTCTTTTGGATGGGCACTTCACTTCCAATTCAAAATGTTTATGCTGCAAAGTCAGTAACTTCTGCTGAGCATAATTTCCCTGTCTATGGACAAGTTTCTTTATTCACAACTCCTGCAGACTTAAAACAAACAAATTCCTTCTGTGATTTCATTGCAGGTGTATCAGTTAGCAAAGAGCATTCATATGCACCCTTAGTGCATCATCACCCCACTAGGAATGTTTCATTACTGCATCATCACAACAAATGAACAAGGGCTCAGTGCGTACTACCTTCATTAAAGTTGTCATCGGTCGAGATGTGGGTCAAGGGAGACTGGGGTCGAGAGTCCCCACAGAGGGAGTAGCTGTGTTCTGCCTGGATGAGGGGTGCTGGGGATGCTGGAGACAGTTCCACCTCCATTATTTCATTCTTCTCAGACAAGAAGGGATCATTCAAGAGCTGGCCTAGGACATCAGGTGAAAACTCATCCAGAAACTCTGTGAAGTGCTGTGGAGATAAAAAGGAGGGGGGAAAGTTTATCTCCTTGCCTGTCTGTTATGCCAACAACAGGAGAGCATTGATCAGAACAATTCCAGTATCTGCAGCAGGCATTTGTGCCAGTCAGCAGCAGGATCTACCAGCCCATGCCTAACAACCTCTTCCTCCAATCCCTACTTCAAGCTGAAGAGCTACAGCTAGAACAAAAGTCCTCTCAGAAGCATACATTACAACAGAAGAGCCTGTGATTAACTTGCAATGAAAATGGAAAACAGAAGCATGGTAGTCATGTCCCTGAAGCAACCTCCTTTACCACAGCATGAAAGATCCTGCAAGGTTTATCATCAGAACACTTTGTGTGTGGCACAGAATATATTGGGTTATTTTTCACTGAAGCAGAGAAGAAAAAGGAAACACAACCAGACACAGACTCCAATACCACGGATGACTATTTTATCTGTACAGAACACAAAGCACACTCAGGAAAACGGGTCCATGCACGTCCCCAGCCAAGAAATTAACACATTTGCTATAAAATGGGTTTCCTGGCTGACTTATGTATCTATTTTAGAAGTCACATTCCACCTAGGACTAGAACCCCTATCAAGCTTCTACCTAAAGTTCCTGACAGCCAGTACTGATTACCACTTTACCTATTACATGAATTTATTACACTGACAGTGCATGTTATGGCTGTATGTAGTAGGATAACTTTGTGTTTGTTTCTTATTCAAAATGAGCACAAATCAAATTTTGTGATCTACTTCCTTGAGACTCCAGTGTATTTCCCATCAATACCCCAAAACTCTGCATCTCTTCTTGGTTTTGTTTCCAATGTCAGAAAACTACATCTTTGACAGACCAAGAAACTGCACTGCCAGAAACCATTCCTGCTCATCTCATTCGCACAAAGAATTCTCTTTATATAGAAAAATATTAGTACAATGAATAGTAATGAGCTTTTTCTGGACAATCAGGCATTATCTGCCATCTTATACAGGAGTCTTTGTCGATTGGGGCATGATCCTACGAAAGTCTAAGTCTGTTTGATTTGCTCTGTTTTTGCAAGCAGTATTGATCTTGGCTCTTCATCCTGCAGAAACAAACACTGAAATTCAAGATTTGGCTTCCTGTAGGCTAAATTAAGAATTAAACAAGTCAATATTGTACAAACCCATGAAAGAACCCCCATGCACGCACATTTCACAGCTCCAGTAGTACCTGTGGCCTTGAAGCCCGATGCTGAAAAACTCTGAGCACTGCCAGCTCTGAGAGTCCCCTAGAAGTTTGAGGACCTCTTCCAAGATGCTCATGAATGCTAACTGTGCCTTCTTTCAAAATTAATAAGTCTTCAGTCAATTATGACTGACACTGAGGAAAAGAAAATATTTACTAAACACAAGGCAATAAACAGAGGACCACAGTTGCTATGCTGGAATAGAAAGCTAGCTGAAGTAAAGCCTTTACAAATGGCAAAACAGATTTGTAGCCTCGTATTTACTTACTGTAAATGATAACATTACTAAACAAACTCTCAGATGATTCAGCAAGAGGGTCATGACCCCCTCAGAAAGCCTTGTTTATTTTAATTTTGATACCCAAGGACTCACTAGCACTTCACATCCAGGGTTGCCTCCCAACATTTGCAAGGATTGGAGTATAAACTACAATTGTCCACTATGCAAAGAAAGAGAAAGGATGCTCAAGACTAGGTGAACACGCTGGTGCATCAGTAAAGTAAAACAGGGCAGACAGACATTAAAGTGTAAACAAGGGACAGAAATTCTTCCCATCCATGACAGAAGTCAAGGATGAACCTATAAAAAAGGAGTACCTTTGTTAAGGACATTTTTTTCCCCACAGTCTACACACTTCTTTTCATCCAGGCTAATGGCAAAAGTCAATTACACTTGTTTACGTATTTTCCTAAAGCTGGTGAGAACATTTTCCTCCTTCTAATTCTTGCATGCATTGTTCTGACTGATGACTAGGAAATGCTGAAATAGGGCTGCTACAATATTTGTACCCTGGTTCTACACACAATTACTGTATCACCAGCATCATCCAGTCTGAGGATGTCATCCTTGAAAATATCATACCTAAGTGTTGGCTTAGTCTGACACTATTTAGATGTTCTAATTTAACAGACTCAGCTCAAAGATGACCATAGGCTACTCAGCTATTTTTGGCAAATTCACAAAGATTTCTATTAGCCTTCTGTCTGTTACTGCTTTGATATGGAAGAAATTAATATCAAATGTTATTTTACTTCTTCCATTTCATTGAAGTATGTCAGATTTCCCCCCCCCCCCCCCCCCCAGCAAAGAAGAAAACAAATGTTCAACTTCCCAAAACCAGAGAGAAAGAGGACCTTGGGGTTGGGAAAGATTTTCAACATGTTCATCAATGTTTGTGCTTTCTCCTTTTCACATGCAGCTGCAAAGCAGCAAGCTGTGAGAAAGAATTTGCATTTACAACAGAATTGTCTGATAGCAAATAAATGGTCAATCAGTTTTTAATATTATTTCTAGTTTCATTATAATCTTATTTTTAATGGTCTGTGATATAACTTTGAGAATATAGGTCAATAGAGAGGTCAACAGAGAAGCCTCACGAACAACTGACAGAGGTCAGACCACACAGCTACTGAACTTGGGGAACAGACAATTTTAGGGATCTGGACTTCTCCTAACTCAATGATTACAAAAACCACTACCACTTGATTTACAGGTATCTTTCATATGTTATGCACATCTCTACTACAGTGAACATTTAAAGCTAGCTCGCTTTGATATTTTTTTCCTCTTAAGAAAACAATTGTCTTACTGAAAGCAGCTCCATTTGCCTAGAGAATTAAAAAAGAAAATGCATCTGAGAGCAGCTACAGCAGAAACCATCCAGAAGCAGTGAGGCCTCCAGCTCCTCAAAACTTCCACCTACACCTAAGCTGCTCCCTCTGTCTTCTCAAAGCACGCTCTCTCACTGCCGACCCTCCTCCTCCTCTCCATGCTCCCCTCTCTGCTTCTGCAGGCACCTTAGTGGTTGGTCATCAGCCACTTCCAGAGCTGGAAAGCCAGTGAATAACCCTTAATTCTGACACAGCAGCAACCACCCCTGCACTCAGGAACAGGAAAGGGCAACTTAGAGAGGAAACAAGAGTTCTATCCACCCTAAGAACCTGTATATATATTCGCTTGCAAAAGAAAGACATTCTTCGTCTGTGGCTTTCAGCTTGGCATCTTTCACCCAGAGTTCACCTTTAAAAAAAAAAAAAAAAGAGAAAAGAGCACTTGCATCGAAAATGTACCTTTTTACATTTTTTTTTTACTTTTAATACCTCTGTAGACAGCTCCATTGCCAACTTCCCACTATCCTCATAGCCCACTGGCAGCCGCAGCACTAATTGCAGACATGTGTTGGTACAAGGAGTCTGCTTGAATTATTAAACTATTCTCTCGACATAGCAAAGAGATGTGTTCAGCTGGGTTTTAACCCCTGTAAAAAGTCATGGATTTAGGACAGATGTAAACTTATCTTCCCCTTCCCCCAGAACCTTGAAAAGATAAACAAAACAGCAGCGCTCCTGTTTACAGAAAGTAAGCTGCAGCCCCATGGAGTTTCACCACCGATGTGGTTGGACATTTGCTCCTGCCTACAACCCAGCTGCTGCTGGGGAACACAGAACACCTACAGACGTCACCCCACGGTAAGCAAACAGGGGAGAGCTCTTCTATCTGGGTGCCTGGCAGATTTTGGATAACTCTTCGAAAGTAGTATTTGGCTGAAGACCAACTGGGCCACAGGCTGCAGCTCTCCACAGCATCTGCCTGTTCCTGCCAGACAAAGGCCCTTTTCTCCAGCTCTGCCTAAGGGACAAGGGTTTTTTTTTTTTCTTTCTTGTCTGATCAAATGAACATCTCTGAAGTAAAATAGAGACTCAGGCTTTGCTAGGTGCATGGCAGTGCTGACTTTTTCACCAGATGACCTGAAGCTAGACGAGAGCAGCACTAGCCCCAGTTGTATAAAGATGTCACATTATCATGATTAAAAAAGAAACAGTCGTGTTCAGAAAACTGACTAAGAACTCAGTAAAACAGGAATGAAGTCAAGAAAGAGCCCCAAATGACACTTCATAACTATATTTGAATTATTAAATAAATGACAGGCTTTGCTGAGCCTGGAAAATGCACTGCGTCAGCTGCAAGTCCCACACACGGACTGCAGCAATCCACCCTTTCCAGCAGAGCCACCCCAGAGGGGAGCAGCAGCGGCAGCACCCTGGCACACTGCAAAAGAAGCCCTGCTCTCCACGCAGCCCAGCGCAAGCCAGCCTACTACAACGAGCCGGGGTGAGAACCACCCATGGATTCAAGATATTCCCCTCCTGGGAGTTAATGGCTCCCTCCTGGCTTGCCCTGAGGTCTCCCCATCCTGGAGGGATCAATCCCCCCTCCACAAGAGGAACTGCCCTTCTACCAAACAGGCACTCATGGCATAAAAATGAAGCCCACCATCTCCCCATAGGTACAAAAATGCCTGATATTTATGTCTTGTAAGGCTTGAGCAGCAACAATGGGGGGTGGGGGACAAGGACTGCACCCTTACTGCTGTATCAAAGGAATCAGACAAGACAGTGCTCCTGGAGAAGATGGGAAAAGAGGGGAGAAAGGGTAGACCACAAACCAGCTTCCATCTGTGTGGAAGTAAACATGCACCACAGGCATGAATCTGTTCCCTCCTTCCCCCCTCCCACCCCCACCCCTTAATTTCCTCTCACATTAAGATAACAGGGAGAAAAGGCAATAATTTCTTCAGCACCTCTTTTGTGGTTTGCATAAACAAAGGTGCATAGGAGATAAAACACAAAATATCATAAAAGATAGCAGCATTTCTAGTTAATAGCATCAAACATCAAAAACCGTGGTTACATGGAGATACCATCTCCTCTTCAAGCACAAATTTTACAGACATGTGGCAGCTGCTTATATGGTAGCTGAGGAGGTCCGAGTAAG